TTTTCAAATAGTTATGATTTAATGTAGGATTAACAGTGTAATTAATTTTTTGATATCCAATGAACTCTTGTTTTATGATTTGTCAATTGTGAAACCTTGAAAGGGGCAATATTTTCAAATCTTTGATTAAACATTTTTCAAAACTTTTCTAATTAATATTTTCAAACTGTTGAAAAGAAGAAAAATGTTTGCAAATAAGACAATCTCTCTGAAGTGGATCTTGGCAGTTGGCATGTGGCATGTGGCTCTCAGACACAAAGCTCATGCTTAAAATCAGTGCTGAAGTTCAACATCAAATATTGGGGCATCTTTGGGGATTCAATATCCTGAAGCGAACGATAAGATCTTTTGAAGGCATTTCCTCCACTAGCAGGAACAAGCAGACTATCAGTATCCTTTGATTTTGTTTCTCTCGAAACAAAGTGTCGTCTCGCTAGAGATAGTTTTCTTAAAAACAAATTGTCTTTCGAGGCAGTTTCTTTTCAAAAAAAAATCTTTGAGTATGTTATTTGGAAACAAAGTTTTGTCTCTCTTGAGATAATTTCTTTTGAGAAAAAAATCTTTGAGTCTGTTTCTCTTGAAACAAATTTCATCTCCCTTTAGACTGTTTCTTTTGAAACACCTATCTTTGAGATCGTTTCCCTTGAAATGAATTTTGTCTCTCTTGAGACAGCTTCTCTTGAAGCATCATCTTTGAGTCGGTTTCTCTTGAAACCAAAATTCCTAAAGATGGCATGCCGTCCTCATCACGTAGGAACCGTGTCATCCACCGACCATACCTCTTCATCACGTAGTAGCCATATCACCCTTAGATAACCAGTCGTCCTCATCACGTAGGAACTTTGTTATCTACCTTATCAATAAAGATGGCCAAACATCCTGATCATGTAGGAACTGTGTCATCCCTCGACCAGACCTCCTCATCACGTAAGAGTCGTGTCACCCATGATAACCAATCGTCCTCATCACGTAGGAACCGTGTTACCATCCCTAAAGATGGCATGTCATCCTCATCGCATAGGAATCATGTCATCCCCGACCATACCTCCTCATCACGTAGGAGCCATGTCACCCCTAGATAACCAACCGTCCTCATCGCGTAGGAACAGTGTTATCGCCTTTCCTAAAGATGGTCAGAACTCTTCATCACATATGAGCCGTGTCATCCACCGACTAGATCTCCTCATCACGTAGGAGCCGTGTCACCCTTAGACGACCAGACCTCTTCATCGCATATGAGTCGTTTTGTCCCCATCAACAACAAAAACATCAAATTTCAAACCAAAATATTAGAACTGGACAAAAACTTGTTGTCTTTCTCGTCTTTGCCCTATTCTTGTTAACACAAGAATGTGCAAAGAGGGGCAGCTGTAGACACCTATTTTTGTCATGGTCTACAAAAATATTATATTATATTATTTATTGTTAATATTATTGTGAATTATTATTATTAATACATCTATTTAAATTGTGCACGCTTCACAACCTGAAGCCCAATGAGCCCAACAAACCAGATAATTATAAGCAACCCATTACAACCAAACCCCAAAATAGAAGCCCAAATTAGATAGTTACAGACCAAGCCCAACCAGAAACCCACCAGCTAGAGTCCAGACCTGAGGCCCGAACCCGACCCGAAGAGGACCCAAATTTGCCCATTGGATAACTTAATTAGGGTTTCATCATTAGCAGTAGCCGCCCATCGTCTCAACTCTTGGATCTGGACCCATCTAACTGTCCAGATCATTAACAGTTAGGGTTTTAAACCCTAAAATATGTTTAACCAATGTCGTTTGGCCTTCCATCTTCCACCGACGCGTGTGTACATCATCGTTCAGTCTCATATGACTCGTGAGTCGCCACCAAGCCACCGCTGAATCTCTTTGAGCTAATCCATCAACTATAGTGACAAAAAGTCCATCAAGCACAGAAAAGTCATAAAAACATAGAAAAATGATGGAAAAATATCAATAACTCAAAATCAAATCCACAAATATCTCGATGATATCTACTATATAAGAGTAACCAGAATAGGGGCACTCATGCCCTAGGAATCGGGAACCACACAAGACAAATCAACATGCCAATAAATGAAAACAAAGATCACAAAAGAAAAAATGGGCATTCGGGTGGTTTGAAAAAGAAAACCAGAGAGTCAAAAACGTCGAAAAAAACCCAGAGATTCTAGAAAAAAGATAAAAACAGAGAACTAAAAAGAACAAAAGAGAGAAAAAAAAGAGAGAAATGTTACCTTGTAGATCTGAAATGCAAAGGCCTCATCGGAGTTCAAAGACCCCTTCGCAGAAGGTAAAAAGGCCTTCATTTTTTCCTAGATCTAAAGTTTTGGGAGATGGGTTTTATTTTTCTAGGGTTGTTTTAGGGGAGAAAGAGAGATAAGAAGAAAATGGGGTTTTTACTTGTTTTTCTCCCCGTGGCCACCGATCTACGGTGACCGAAGAGTTGGGGTTTCTATCCTCGGTGGAGATCGGAGGGAGATAGGCATAGATGGAGAGAGGCGTGAGCATCTGGCTCTCTGATTTTTGAAGAGAGAGAATAAAATGAGAAGTGAGAGATTTCACCGAGTTTAGGCCGTTTGGTAGGCCTTTTATACCAAGGTCCAAACGACGTCGTTTGGATAGGGGCCTGGGTGTAATTTTCTGCTCTTGCTCAAATTATGTCATAGGGCTTTTTCATTTTTTAAAGTTTGTTTAAGGGCGTATTGTATTTTATTTGTTTTGTACTTCATGTCCTACATTTTGTAAAGTTTGTATATTGGTCACTAGGCTGGTTATTGTTAATATTTTGTAAAGATTAGATATTGTACTCTGCATTTATGAAACTTTTATTTTGATCACTACTGTTGTATTTTACGTTAAATATTGATTAAGGCTTGTTTGTTTTACTTTCATTATATTTTAGTCATTATTTATTTATGGGTTTATTTCATTTTTGGTGTCTGTATTATTAAATATTTGTGATCTTAGGCTTTGGTTTATTTTGTAATTATTTTTTAGTCCCTTAAGTTTCTGCTTTGCTATTTTAGCCATTGAAATGTCTATTTTTGCTGTTTAGTCCTTTAAGTTTCTGATTTTTCTATTTTATCCATTTAAGTTTATGTTTTTTGTCATTTTAGTCCTTTAAATTCATGTTTGTACTATTTTGGTCCTTTGAGTTTATGTTTTTGCTATTTTGGTCCTTGTAATTTTAAATATTTACTCTTTGATCATATTATTTTGGGTTGTAATATTCATTTGCATTTATATCAATCCCTTATGTATGTACATATTTATATGTTATGTATTCACTTGTATCACATATAGATAAATATGCTTATAGGTATTTATTGTAAATATTTTTATTTCGCATGTTTTTAATAATTATTGTTTTAATATTAGAAAAATGAAGAAATTTTAATGTGAGGAAAATCTACGAAGAAATTTCCCAACTAAAGGGAAGGTATCTTTTTGAGGATTTTTCGCATAAATGATTGTTTTATATTCTATATTTTTATTTGTTCCACGTTTATTTGTCATCATTTTTCACTTTTATTTTGTTTTATTTTATCTTTGCGAAAAATTGGAAAATAATGTAGTTTGTGAGGGGAATATATGGAAAAGTCTCCTAACTACAAAGGAAGTGCTTTCCCAAAGATTGTTCACACAAAAGGGCGTTCGTAATCTGAAAATTAACACTTTTTGAATAAAGTCAAATTGAATAAAAGGATCACAATTTAAATATATTTTTGAAGTTTGTAATTCCCAATATTTAAACAATATATAATCGTTTAGGTATCAAAGTTTGGGCGTTGTGGGGGTGCTAACCCTTCTCCAAATGTAACCGACTCTCAAACCCTTAAAACGAATCTTTGGTAAAACGCATACCATTTTTTTAACGTTTAAGGTTTCCAACCTACCTAACTTAATGGTTGGTGACGACTCCAAAATCAAATTGTTTTCCAAATTAATTCTAAATCACCAAATTTTCAAAATAAAAAAATCAAATTGTTTTTAAAATCATATTTTATCACCTTCCTCAAAATTAATATTTTTAAGTCTAACGGATCCCCCGGGGAAACGTTATGACAGAGCCAAGAACTCTTCCCTCTCTCTGCACACATCAAAAGCAGGATTCAAATAACGATAGCGGTCGCTTTTTCGGTCATGCCGCGTTTACCACGATTGCGGCCATAGCGGGCACTATTACATCCATAGTGGGTATATCAGAAGGCAATGCTACCTCTATTTTGCGAGTGCTATCGCGGTCGCGCTATTTAAAACCCTGATTAGGAGCATAGACATTTATAACCAATAAATTCAAATTTAAGAACGAAATATGACCTTCCAACGCCAGAAATCTGTTGCTTAACGTCGACTTCTTCACATTAAAAAATTCGTAATCCCACAACGTAATTAGCCCTCCAGACCAGACTCCCCGGACTGTACAACAGCTATTTCGCTAAAATTCCTCCCTTTGATCCGCTTCAAAAATCTGTAACTTGCATCAGAATTTTTTTTTATTCTTGTATCAATGCCATCTTTGCTTTGTATTTCGAAAATATCTTGTTCATCGCACTTACCTTTTCTACTTTACTCATCCCCTCACATTCCAAGTAAAATTTGCAAAATTCATAAGATAAATAATAAAACACATATGGAAGACACATACCTTTGAGTCTCAACTCCCAAAATCTTCCTCCAATTGCTCTAATCTCCCAGGAATCATTCAATCAAACGTCGATAATAGATTTTGACATTATACCTATTATACATGTTAATATATTATCATAATATTGAAATCTTATATTAATTACTATGAACATTAGCAAACTAAAACTTTTTTATAATAGTAGGTATCATGCTACTCACTACCTCATTTTATGGTTTTAAGGTTTGTGTTGTAGAAGACATACGGACAACAATGGTCCACGCAGTAACAATCCATTTGGCATTCACCATCTTCTCTCATATCCCCAATGACCCAATAACCAGCCAATGCCATCCACCAACAAATCTCTTATCTTCCTTTCAAACCCACACTCTGTCAGTACCACCCATCCCAAACCTTTCCCATTTGTGTCTCAACCTTCAATGGCTTCTACTCTCGCTCTCCCATGCCACACTGTGGCTTCACTTCTCCCTTCCCACACTTCCATGTCCCATTTTCCTCTTCCCAAAAGTATCCCAATTCTCTCCAAATCATCGTACTCTCAATTTTATGGCCTTAAATTCTCTCTCTCTTCTTCTCTTTCTACGATCCCTTGTTTTTACTCCTTCAAAACTTCCATTTCCGCCAAGGTGCATTGCTTTTATATCGGTGGGTTTTGTTGTTTTAATTGATTGTTTACGATTTTAGTGGTTTTTTTGGCAGGTGAATAAAGGGTCGGTGCCTCCATCGTTCACTTTAAAAGATCAAGACGGGAAAAATGTGAGCCTTTCCAAGTTTAAAGGGAAGCCTGTGGTTGTTTATTTCTACCCTGCTGATGAAACCCCTGGCTGCACCAAACAGGTTGCTGTTTTTAATCTCTTAATAATTCCATTTGGCCTCTTTTCTGGAACCCATTGTTGTCTTGGTTTTAGTAATGAAATAAGGCTAATGTATAAAAAAATACTGCTTAATTTAAGGCTGATAAATAGTAAAACTAGGATGCAATCAAGATGTAATCTAATATTTTTAGGTTGGAAGCAATCTAAAATATAAATATTCATCCTAATATTTCCAACTGTATTCTAAAATATTATGAAGAAGATGATATTTCATGTTGTTAAGCAAAAATGTTATGAATAAAATTATATTTTATATTGTACAAAAAAATGTTACGAAGAATGTCACATTTTAAATTACGTATAATTCAAAATATTATGATTTTGATGAAATTTTCGACGCATACTGTTTTCTTCATTTTTAAACCTTAAATTATAGTTTTTACGGCAGAACTGCCCTGAAATTAGTGAAACTTGGGCAGGCTTGTGCTTTCAGAGATTCTTACGAGAAGTTTAAGAAAGCAGGAGCTGAAGTTATTGGAATCAGTGTTGATAACTCAGCATCACACAAGGTAATTAGTGTTTTCACTTCTATAATTTTATAAGTTCATAGTTTCATCTAATATATTATAAATTGGTCTCCAAATATAAAACTCTAGTCTTGTATAAGAGATCACGATTGGTTGAATGACTGACAAATATTGTATTGAAATGACAAGGCCTTTGCACAGAAGTACAAGCTTCCATTTACATTGCTGAGTGACGAGGGGAACAAGGTGAGGAAAGAGTGGGGAGTTCCATCGGATCTATTTGGAGCTTTGCCAGGAAGACAGACGTATGTCATTGACAAGAAAGGTGCGGTTCAACTCATTTACAACAACCAGTTCCAGCCCGAGAAACACATCGATGAAACCTTAAAAATGCTTCAGACTGTAAATTCATCTGTTTAATGTTTCCACTTTTTTCTTCTTTCACTCCCTCTGGGACTCGCGCATGTGTTGTTGGTGTGACACAAGTGTTTGTGTCGTATGATTCAAAGTGCAAAACCACCCATTGTTTGCCTTGACAAGCTGATCATTTGTATCCAACCATGCATATGTAATGGAACTTCTATGACTCAACTGTCACTTCAGCAGAACAAGTTTATAGTAGTATTTTTTAATCCTATAGTGACTTTTAAAATGTCACCAAAAATCCTCCCGATGCAAGAAACGTGTCGCAAGAAGCACCGCTAAAACAAACGTCACAACTGTTAGCGATGTTTGTGAGAATAAACCACTGCAAAAAGTTAGGTCATTTAGCGACATTTTGGAAACAAAAACGCTAATTGTCATGGTATATAGTTGCGTTTGTGAAAAATAAAACATTGAACAAATTTAGGTAATATAGCAGCATTTTGAACACAAGTGCCACTAATTGTCATGATATATAACCGACTAGTGTTTATTTTGTGCTTAAATACGCCTCGATTGTTCAATATTATTGCTGATTTGGCCATTTTTACATGATTTCTATGCAGGACAATGACTTCTGGAAAATGTGCTTAAAAAGCCTGAAAATTGCATTTTTTTAGTTCTGGAATCAAGACTAGAACAGTGGGGCATCAATCGGGGCATGAAAGGTTGACGTGGTAGTACGTCAGTAGCTTCTAAAAGGTCCATCTAGCAGCTTCCAAAAGGTCCAACAATTCTAGAAGGAGGACGGACGACTGAAGCATTTCAAAATTCAAGTTTTTAGGAATTTCTTTTATTTTTAGGATTTAATTCAAACAATTTTCAAGAACTATCTTTTGCATTTTTAGGAGTTATCTTTTGTATTTTCTTATAATTATCTTCAGCGTTTTTAGGGTTTTGGGAAGCTAAAAATACCCACCTTGGGTAAAGCTTCAAAACATCTCAGATTGCCTGAACTTCTTTGTTTTTGTTTTCTTTTTATAAAAGTTATTCTTTTTGTTTATTATGTTTTATTTATTTTTAAAGCTTTCTTTATTTTTTAAAATACTAAGTATAGTTTTCACTATGCTTAGTTAAGCTTTTCATAGCCAAAGGCTGAAACGATGACTCAATTTCTAACTTGAGAATTGAAAAGCACCTCATACCATTCGAGTTAAATTTCTTAATTTTTCTGGAAAATAGATTGGCGAATTGTCTTTCTTAAAATAAAAATGCTTTCGCTTCAATAATAGATTTTGGATTGGATGTCGTGATGGTTTACCATTGGGATTATAAAATCAATTGATTCAAATTCCCTTGAACACACTTAGCGATAGCACACTAAGTGGAAATTGGGATCGAGTTCGACTTTCATAGAGAAAACATAATCCTAGTTGTGCTTCTCCAAGCACTTTTAAACTATTTTGAGTTAACAACGATTGTCGCGGTTAATTCGAACAATGATTGAGATTTCTAAAATAAATTTGGGAAAATCAATCACCAAAGAGAAAAGTGAGCTACAAGGATTGAACCTTGTGGACTCAGAACCGACATTTAACCAGAGTAAAATCTTATTCAAGGATCGATTGAAATTGACAAAGCTAAAGCGTGAGACTAATTTGATCAGATTGAATTTATTATCTTTTATTTTCTTTAGATTAAATCACTTTCTTTATAAACATCTCAACAAACCCCCCATTTTGTTTTTCTTTGTAGTTTACGCCAGAGTAGAAATCAAGAACCATATTATCGGCAACTTCCTTAGTCCCTCTGGATTGACCCTTAATCTATCTATACTATCTTTTTCTATTTATTTTATTTGAGATTAAGGATAAATTTATTTGACACTAAAACGACGCGTTGTCAAATTGGCATGTTGTTGGAGACTTTGACAAAAGTTACTCTATTTTTTTTATTTATGACAAGGCAAAATTCGGATAAGAGGAATTTGATTCAAAAATCGAAGCACAAGCTAGACGAATCCACTAACAAACCCTTTGAGAGAGAAAAAAGACGACAAAAAGAATAAACAAATCCTGAAGGATCAACTGAAATTGCCGCCACACTAGAAGAATTGACAAATTCTATTTAAACATCATCACACGCCGAATCACACTCTTCATTTCCCGAAGACGAAGCCAACTCACAAACACTAGAATCGATGGAGGAATGCACCATCCAGGAATTAACCGTAGCACCCGCTATTCAACAACCTCAATACATCGCCTTCCCTCAAGGGGAAACTCCGTTTCAATAAAACAAAAAGGGCTGATTCACTTTCTTCCCACTTTCAATAGTGTTCCCAATGAAAATCCGCACAAGCATCTCACAAAATTTTACATGGTCAGCTCAAGCATGAAACCTCAAGGAGTATCCGAAGACCAAATTAAATTACGAGCATTTTTTCTTTATCTGGCATAGTGAAAGAATAAATATTTTATTTTCCTCCAAATTTGTTAAATACATGGGTTGATCTAAATCATATGATTCTTGATAGGTTTTTCCCACCAAAAAAGGCAGGCAAATTGAAAAGAAGCATCATATGGATTAAACAGAAAGATGGAGAATCAATTTACGATTACTGGGAGCGATTCAATAAGCTTTGAGTAAGTTGTTCGCAACATGGATTAACCAAACAAACACTTATCCAGTATTTCTATGAAGTCTTGCTACCATTAGAGATGAAAATGGTCAATGCTAATAGGAGAGAAGCTCTCGTCAATATGACCCCGAACACAACAAAGAGAATTAATTTCGACGATGACAACTAACTCTCAACAGTTTGGCTCTACAAGTTAACCCATTTGACGAGTTCTCGAGGCAAGTATCGTTTCGCTTGAAACTAAAATAGACAAATTAATTGACGTGGTTAATTATCTTGTTACTAGAAAACTTGGATCAGTAAGAGTATGCGGGATAACCTGATGCTATAAGACGAAATAGGCGCACAAGTCAATGTTATAGGAAACTTTCCAATACCTCCCCAGAGACCATACAACCCGAATGGAAACACATATAATCTGACTGGAGAGACCGCCCTAACAACTGCAGAAGACATCCCTCGAATCATCTAATGGATTGTTGCCCGATACTACAGAACTCGAGGCCTAATCAAGCTTATCAGTCGTGACCGCCTCCACATCAACCCTACCAACTGCAGAAGACATCCCTCGAATCAATCGTTGAACGACTGCCTCTTTCCCAGAAGAATTTCATGAATCACACAAGTCACATTTACAAGAGATAGACAAGCAGATCAGTGAACTAGCATAAGCCATGAGTCGAATTGAATCGCAAGGTAAACTTCCCTCTTAAATCGAGATGAGTCCATGAGAAAATATAAGAGTTATCACCCCCCAAAGTGGAACAATTATCGAACAACTGGAATCCTAGAAGGAGGAAACAACAAGTGTAGAGTCCCAGAGAAATAATGAAATATCACCTTCCTATATCCAATGTACATCTTCATTACCACCTCCTTCTTATCTTGAAATTGCACCACCCTTCCCATTAAGATTGATGAGGTGTGACAAAAGAGCCGAACAAAATGAAATCCTAGAGGTGTTCCAAAAAGTACAAATCAATATTCACATGCTTTATGTAATTCATAATGTTCCTAAGTATGCCAGATACCTTAAAGATCTCTGCACAAATAAAAGGTGACTTACTAAAAACAAGATGGAGAATTTAGGCGATAATATCTCAGCAATTTTCTAGTGACGACTTCTACCGAAGTTGAAGGACCAAGGTATGTTCGCAATACCTTGAATAATTGTTAAGGTTAAAATTAAGCGTGCTATGTACGATTTAGATACCTCTATCAATATAATGCCTCTCTCGTCTATAATTTAATTTCCACCAAGCCTTTGAAGGAGATGAGAATTACACTTCAGCTCACCAACAGATCGATTATCTATTTTGAATGACTACTAGAAAATATTATGGTAAAGATAAACGATTTAATTTTTCCAGTTGGTTTTTATATTATTAATATGGAAAATGATCGTATCAATACTGGTTCTGAAATTCTCCTAGGTCGACCCTTTCTAAGCACGACAAATCCAAAAATTCGACGTAAGAGGCGGAATTCTTACAATGGAATTTGAAGATGAGATCGTAAAATTTGATGTTTATAAAGCAATGAGATATCTAAATAACGTCCATAGTATTAATTTTATTATTGACCCTATTGTTGATAAGTCCGCGAAAACTAAGTTTTCTGATAAATTGTGCAGTGAACTGAAGGAAAAAGAGTTGAAACAAATTGCATTTGTTGATTTAGATTTGCGCTTAACTCCTACAAAAGCTAATTTTTTACCTTCCATTTTGCAGACATCAAAATTTAAACTAAAATCAATTATGGGACATTTGAAGAAAGCCTTTTTGCGCGAAAGATATAATTTTAAGCTTTCGAATATGAAAAATATTCAAAAAAATGTTTATGAGATTGTTCGAAGCTACAAGGATATATTAAAGGAACTTTATGATTGTAGACTTGCTCGTAAAAAATTTCTTCATTGGAAAAGCGTATGAAGTGGAGGAAGCATCTCTTTTCAAACCTGTAATCTGAATTAGGTCATTGGGCTAACGACGTTAAAAATAACGCTCATGGGAGGCAACCCATATTTAATTTTTTATTTTTATTCAATTTCGTTCGATATTTTTCCTTATATTTATATTTATTTTTTAATTTTAATTTTTTATAAGTACCCCGTCATTCCAAATTTAATTCAAATTTAATTCGACGTTGAGAATTGATCGAACAAAGCGTGAATTTGACGAATTTTAGAGCATCAACTCGCGCAAAACTATAGGAAATCGTCGAGCTGCAATTAGGGATTCATGCCCTTTATCAAAATGCGTAGTATCATTAGTGGCACATGTTAGCATAACCCATTAAGGGCCAGTGCAAGTTAGCATTACCCAAAAACCCCTTTTTGCCTCTTACCACCCAACACTCCAACAATTTTCCCCCAATTTCTCAATTTCCCTATTTTGTTTCTATTCAGCCGCCAACCCCACCAATTGAAACTCAACCTTTGAAATTCAAACCTTTCTACACTTTATCCCTTCCCCAAAAATTTTGGCCATACTCATTTCCAAATAAAAACTCTTATTCTTATTACTCACGTGGAAACTCAAACACTTATTCAACAACCTGCCGATTATCCTTCAACAACTCACGCAAA